ACCTGCAAGGCTTCGGTGTTAAAACGGGTGACGAAGCTACGCAATGACTCCCCCTCCGACTGGCGGATGTTGAGTAGTTGGGTTGCTGAACGCCGTTGGCGCTGGGTACCAATAAAGTGGCTAAGAAATGAGTCACTTAGGTGCTGGAAAGTAGAGACGGAATCCGTTAGCAGCTGACTAAACCACAGTCGGGCCGACCCCTTAAGTGTCACGGGGAAAGCCCGACACATGATCTCATCAGGGAATGCATGGAGGACCATCAGGGTCCTGTAGGTCTCCAAATGGTCGACTGGGTCTGTTGTACCGTTGAAGAAGTCGATCGAGGGCATTTTGAACTTAGGAGGTAGGGGCTTGTCCTTGATAGAGGCGACGAACGGCGAATTGGCTATTGTGGAGGGTTTGTTTTGTATGTTCTGCATGACTCCTTGAAGTTGGAGTTTCATGGCTCGAAGCTCTGCATCCCAGATAGGAATGTTGTCACCACCGGAATACAATGGAGGCTGGACACTACTGGCCTCTCCTTCAGGAGTAGGTGCTTGGACTGATAGAGGTGGACCCCGAGGTGGTGGGTTCATATCTTGGGAAGGGGGTCGCAAACCCTCAAAGTTGGAAGGGTGGGCTTGATGGAAAAGATGGCTCGAGGTTCGTTCTCGGTTAGGTGGGATATCTTGTGGTGGTAGAGGAGGCACAGGGAGTTCTCGTTGGAACAAAGCATTAATCAGGGCTTGATTTTGCTCTGCTAGGCGGTTGATGCTGTTGGTGAGTTCTGTGAAATATTGCGATGGGTCGTTTGGGTTAGAAGGGTCGGCTTGGGGGTCGGCAGCGTTGTGTTGAGAAGCCATGGATCTAATTGTGACCATCCACCTTGGTAGGTGGCAGGTGGGACTATCGGGAATGGGTCTTCGGTGACAATGAGCATAATTGTCGCACAGAGTGAAAGCTTTCCACAGACGGTGCCAGCTGATGCTACAACTAGTCTCTAAAGAACGGGTTGGACTAATCCAGGCCTCCCACACGGTTGTCCGATCGTTAGGCTCACGGAGAAACGTGCACAAGAGTTCAGTAGGGAACAAGAGTCCCCCAGAGAACCTTCCGACAAGCAAGTTAGAGAAATAATAATGAACGGAATATTGAGGTTGGATTGTGATAAAGAACTTAACCTTCTCTCTATCTTAGAAACTTGCTTATATCATTTGCTCATCATTTCCTTGTCCACTCCGACCTGTCATGTTGGCCGAAAATCTATACTCTAGCTTGCCTTGTTCATGGTGAGACTGTTCTGTTCCGACGTAAATGGGTTATCGTAATAAATGCTGCAGGGGACCTCATTAATGGCTGATGCATAGTGCAATAACTCTGCAGGATCTTTGTCTGCTTATGTAGCTGGTTCTTCTCTTAACACATGTTTAGATGTCATTGGTCCTTGATACAACGTTGGGCTTCAGCAATATTGGATTTTAGTGTTTGAATTGTGTATTGGGCTCTAAACAGTGGGCCAAAAGCTCTTATAGGCCCACCTATGTCAAGTTGAATATATGGATTCGTAGTTTTTCTAACATACTATATAATTTATGTTTAAGACTTAAAATGTAGGTGTACTAAACTATAATTTCTCGTTAAGGTTAATAATTAAAATATTATTTTTGTCAATTTAGATTTGAAAATAAATCAAAATTTTAGAGTTTAATTTATTAAAATTTAAAAATTAAGATTTATTTTGTTATATGAGTTAAAAAAAATTAAAATTAAAAAAAATATTTTTATACCACATAACATAACTGTTATTGTCACTTTTTTTTTTTAAATTTTAAATATAAGCTAATTTTTAGAGTAAATTTAAAATAAAAAAATCTTTAAAATGAAGGACTAAAATGAAAAAATAAAAACTTTATGGACCAAAATAAGAAAATAAGGCCCCGTTTGGGGTGGTAAGTTTGTAGAAGAAAAAAAAAAATCACTATAAATTATTAAATCAGTCTCTTTACTTTATGTACATTTTTTTTTAGGAGATGGCTTATTTCCAGTTTACATAGCGGATTGAAGCATATTGTTGGTCCTGTGAGGCCTATCACCTGTTTTATTTTGATGATTTGAAGTATTCGATGTATAGAGCTTATCGAGTACTTTATGTTTACAAAAAATCACATTGATCGAATATTCATAGTTCCTTGATCGAAACATATTTTTGTAACTCTATACATTAAACGATTCAGATTATCAAAATAAAACTCACGATGAATCCCACGAGCTCAACAACACATTTCAGTTCACACGTCTTTTTTCTTTTTTTTTTTCTTTTTTTTAATTTTATAAAAAATCAAAAAAATAAATTAAAATAATTTAATTCTCAAACGGGACCCACATAAGGGGTAAACTGCAAGCGTCAAGATCCTCTAGAGTACAATCCTAGAGTGATCTCCTACAATGACCCAATCCAATGGCTGAGATGCAAATTAATCAAAACGACATCGTTTTGATTGGTAATTTGAAAAAAAAAAAAAAAAATTCATTTTGAAGTCAATCGTGTGCTGTTGCTGTGAAGCATTAGAGAGAGAGAGAAGGACCGATCACCGTAAAAGTTCCTCCGACGCCGCAAGTGTTGGCGATGAAGAGAACCACCATGTCTGCTAAACAGAGCTTGTAAAAGGGAGTCGTCTTTGCCTCTGTTTGGTGGATTGAACACATTTCTCAAACATGAATTGGGTTTTGAAGATTCACCATTAATGGTTGCTTTTGGTTGTGGGTTTTCAGTAACTTCTTGGATTTGAGAAGAGTTGTTCATTTCTTGTTGGTTCTTGTTCTTTCATAGATTCATTTCTTCGCTTATTACAATACCAAGAGGTGCAAAAAGGAGAGCCATGATCAATTTGACTCAATAACGCAACATAAAAACAAACAAAAACAGAAATTAACAAGAATCCAGAAACAATTACTCAAACCCAATTTATCCAACTCAAACTCAATTACTCAAACCTAGTTTATGCAACTCAAACTCAATTCCTTCTCTTCGATCTTCAATTTATCGAACCCCATCCAACCATAACTCCCAAATCAAGAAAAACTTATTAATATAAAAATTAAAAAATCCAAATCCAAACACAACAATAATTTTCAACATTCCCTACAAACCCACAGGGAAATTCGATGATGGGTTTCCAGACTTAAAACACACAAAGTGCACAAAAATTCTTATTTCTCAAATTCCCATTTCAGAGAAAATAAATTCAAACAGACCCTATAGACCTTCAGACGACGATGGGTGAGCGAGAGAAAGAGAGTGATGTCGAGAGTTTGAGCGATTTCCCAAGATCTACTGATTGTGTTGTTTGTGGGCAACACCAGACTTGATCTCGACGGCGTAGGGGGGGATCGATTGGAGTTGAGAACGTAGTTGTCCGCAACAAGGTTGATCGCCTTTCTTGAAGTTTCCGGTGACGAAGGCAGACATCGGTGAACACAGAGAAACAGACGGAGAGCAGAAAATGAAGGA